AAAATTCTGGCAGGAGATTGCTGGGACTTATTGTTAATGGTGCTTTTTATCTTTTTCATTGTGCTGTTGTAATTTATCCTGAAGACATAAGCTGATTGTCTCTGAGGTCATCCTGTTAGGCTGATGGGAAAAGAGGCCATGCCATTTTTCCTAATGAAGGGAATATGAATTAGAACAATGTAAGTAAGCATTTTATGTAAATGACCATTGATTTTTTTTTTTTTTTTTTGCTGGGTATTTTGTAATGCCTTGTTCTAGTCCAAGTACCACTGCTTACTCAGCATTATCTGAAATTATTTTTTTTCTATGAGAATCTCAATAACAATAACTAATATTTATTAAGCATTTACCATGTGCCAGTCACTGTGCTAAATCATTTTTTCACTTAATCCTTAGATCAAACTTAAAAATCAAGTATCGTCGTTATTCTTTTTCCAGATAAAGAGACAGAGGCTTAGAGAGGGTGGGTAACTTCACCAAATTAACATAATAACTGATAGAATCGGGATTCAAACTCAGGATATAGTCTGCCTCTAGAATCTGTGCCCTTTAGCCAATGTGCTGTACTGCTTCCCTTTGAATGAACCTGATAACACTTACTCCCTAATCGCTGGTCAGAGATTAGAACTATTCTTTAGGACTTAGAAATAATTCTTGATATGAACCAAAGCCATCTGTCAGTTTAGAGTAACCACGAGAGATTTTAGCTTATGGTATCCCAATAGTGTTTTCACCAAATAGGAGTTGGAGTAGGTCCGTTTAAAGAGTATTAGTGTAATATTAAGGCCTATTCTTCTTTTCCTGGCTGATGGGGGAATGTTCTTTTGGACACCAGAACATTGAGCATTAATTAAGGCAGACAAGATTGTGATCCTCTCATCTTTTGTAAAGTGCCAGTATATCTGCACTTGCCTTATCACTGTGAGTCTGTGTGTTCTGTAATAAGCCTAAACTAGCAAGCACTGAGAACAGTGACTTTAAGTGACCACTAATGCTCTCTGTGGACAGGTCACTTTGATTCTATGAAGATTGTCTGTAGGAAAGCTTCTATACTAATACTATACTAATAGAGTTCAAAGAGGATAAGTAATTTGTCAGTAGAAGTGGGACTTGGAAGCCTTTATATGAATGCTTAGGCCCTGAAAAGCAAGCAGGGGAAAAGGTCAAGAATATTTAACATAACTAAGGAGGGCTGGAAGAACACAACAGAACTATCTTCTGTTCAAGTTCAGTGATCATCTTCTATAATGTCTAACTCACTGCCATTGAGTTGATTCTGACTCATGGCAACTCCCATTGAATTTCCAAGGCTGTAAATATTTATGGAAGTAGATTGTCTCATCTTCCTGCCGAGCAGCTGGTGGGTTTGAACTGCTAACATTCTGGTTAGCAGCCAAGTGCCTCACCCAATATACCACCGGAGCACCTTTCCACTATGTCTAGTGCTTTCAAAAGCAAAGCACTTTGCTAGAGCTCCAGAAGCAGAAAGCAATCAAAACTCAGTCTTTTTCATGTGGCTTCTGAAAAATCAAGTACTTAATCTGATGACCCATTTGCTAAACTGTGTATATAGCATTTCCTCCCCCTTTTTGCATAGCTGCTATTTATGATTACAGTTTCTGGCCATTGGGAATTTTATGTGTATGAGTGTATTTAATCTAAAAAGAGATATGGCTAGCTAGTTGATTGAATAAGAAAAATGTTAAGAGTATGTGGTGGGAGGCTGACGTCAATAAATTCAATAAGTCTTCCCTTTTTTATTTATTGTTGTGTTCTTCCAGCCCTCCTTAGTTATGTTAAATACTCTTGACCTTTTCCCCTGCTTGCTTTTCAGGGCCTAAGCATTCATATAAAGGCTTCCAATGTGATTAGCATTGATGCTTCTGAGATTGCTTGGAAACTAGATGGTCAGAGATAAATTGTGGGTTGCAGGCTTTTACATCTGCTTCTTCCCTGGATTGAACATGCTGGTGGGCCATATGGCAGAGTGCCACGCAGAAAAGCCAAGGACGGCTTTCTGGCTGAGTTCCTTACTATCGCTTACTTCCATTTTAAAGTGGAGGTTATAGTGCTTTGGGCTTGATTTACTATGTACTAATGGGATTAATCCTTAACTTGAAATCACATGGGAGTTGTGTGCGTGTCTGGAATCCAATTTCAGTAATGTTATCAATATTCCTTTCAGGGAAAGATTTTATTAAACTATGTTTCTCTATATAGATGAATAGAAAACACCAGTTAATAAGTATCTGACCCTTGATTGACCTCTCTTGAAAATAAAAACAGTTTTGTTTAGCACAAAGTGAGGTTGCCTGAGTGGCTTTTACTGTTTGATTTCTTTTATAATCTGTAATTATCATTCAATTAAATGCCAAAATGTCCTCCCAAGATGCAAAGGAGTTATTATGGCCTGAGTTTATATGCATATTTACATGGATGCCTGCTAACTCAAAATATGTCTTCAAATGTACATAACCAGAAATCAGAAATTCTACACCTCCCTCCCCCTAAAAAAAAAAAATGGCAAGTTAAATAGATAGTGCTTGTTTATTATGAGAATGTCTCACTCTCTCTGAGACTATATCTGTGTTTATGTCTCTGAATGTCTCTCTGATTTTCTGTCTCTCATGCAGTCCGTCTGTCTCCCACTCTACCTTTCTTTCTGTCTACAACCTCTTTTCAATCCCTGTCTCTTCTCTCTGTCTTCCTGCCTTCATCTGGCTGTCTCTCTCCTTTTCCAAGCTCTCAGCTAGTACTGTAAGTTGAAACAAATCCAGATGTTCTTTTCTTACCAGGATAATTCATTTTACTTGGGTGGCCAGACCTACTACTTTAAAATTTCATGACATCCAAATCTAAGAATTGGCACATGGTTTTAAATCTACTTACTCTTCCTCAACTTTGACTCCACATTCCCCCCACTTCCCTTCTCAGGAAAATGAGAAAGCATATTTGGTCACATAAACTCAAAAACCAAATTCACTGCTGTTGAGTCGGATCTGACTCATAGTAGTGACCCGTCTTTCGGTTTCCAAGACAGTATCACTAGGGAAGTAGATTGCCCACCTTCCGAGGAGGGGCTGGTAGGTTTGAACCGTCAGCCTTCTGGTTAGCAGTCAAATGCCTTAGGTACTACTTATAGTAACTATGAACAGAATATATTAAGATTTTATTTTATTTCTACCTGTAAGGTTTGGGCCAGCAAAATAAACAGTGGTGTTAATTTGTAGTAGGTAATAATAGCCATATAATCTTTCAATAAAGTCTAAATTATTAGGTAATAAATCTGCAGTCTCAAGAGCCTCCTAAGGTTAATAACTTTCATTATGATTATGAAATATGTGAATTTTATGTCATTTCACAAACAACTGAAGACATAGAGAAACTAGGGACTTTTTTTTTTTTTTTTTTTTAATGTTTTAGGGAATTACTTCCTGAGGCCAACAGCCATTTTTTCCCTCAATATGCAATATTTCTATTGACAAGGAACTTTTGCCCTTAATTGAATAGTGTAGTAATGCATTTCATCTCTAGAAATAGGTGGTGCCTGCTTTTATATTCATACTACTTCCCTCTAGTAAGTAGTAAGCCTAAACAGGGATTTTGCAATGGATCCCAAGGTATTCATTTGGTAAATCATTGTTTATTTGATACAGGATGTTTAGTAAAACTACCAAGGGCATTTTGACCTAAACTTTCTTCTGGTTGACATGTTACAAAGAAACCAAGTTGAAACCTTCACTTTAAAAGAGCCTTTGTTTCAGCAAGCAGCTGAACTCTATGTGTGTGTGTGTTAAATATTTTTGAAAGGTAAGTTTTTTAAGATGAGTTAAAATTATCACAGGTATTGGTATACTGTCTTTAAAGCATTGAGTATTTAGATTTGATTAAAATACTAGTTTCTTTATCTGATGTTAGTGCTCTTTTTAGTAAGTAAATATTCATATGAATTGTTTTTTCAGAAATTGACCCTGAATACGTAATTTCAGATCATTATAGCAGGATCATTTGAAAGCTTCATTAGCTTCCTTTTTCCTAGTTTATTTCAATTGTTCAATAGGATTTTATCATAGAATTAATTTTTCCCTCTCTGTATAGTTAACATAAGTTTGAGTTTCTAACCATGAAGATTTTTACCCATTTGAAAACTTATTAAAATGGACTTTTACTTGGGGGGTTTCTGGTTTTAAAGCCAGAGTATATGAATAGAGGCAGATGAATAACACCTGATGGTATATAGCCACTGCTCCCTATGGCTTTTAAATGCCTTTGAAAAATTAGATCTTATGCCCAAAAGCCTGCTTTTGTGTTTGAAATCTTTTAGTGAACTACTTATTCAGGTCATAGCTTCTACAGCCCTCCTTTTCTTTCCTCAGGATAAACTGCATTATGTGTTACCAATAACAATACCATGTCATTTCAAAGAAATCTAAATTAAATAATGCAAGCCTAGGTTGCTGGAAACTGGATAATGCAGGATAGGCACTGTTCACTGGTTTTGTTACCATGCAAAGGGATTATTTGTTTAATTAGCAAGGCTAGTTAGACCCCCAATATTTTGTCATACTGAAAATTCTATCATACAAACACAGTCAGATGCAGTTTTTTCTCAGATGCCATTTTGTTCAGTCATTTGAACTGCATATTATAAATAGTATTAGCCTTTGGGAAACAGCCATGCATTAACTTGCTGACCCTAATTGACTTTGGGGCACTAGATGATGTGTTCTCCCTGGGCAGGATATATCAGAGAAACAAGGTTGTTAGAGTCATCTGACTTGAGCAACCTGAAAAGGCCCAGGTTAAGTTGGTCTCAGACCTTTCCAGATGCCATTTGAATCCAAACCAGTTTCTAGTTCTCTATCATTGTGTATTTATCTTGTAGGAAAATTGTTTCTATTCCTTGATGGAAATAGAGATTTAGGGGGGTATTTTTGTGTTTATTTACTTATTAAGGCATTTTAAATCATCTACTTTTTTTTATTTTTGGTCTCTCTTAGGGTGTTTGAAGGACGTTCATCACGGAAACCAGAGAAGCTTAAAACGCTCTTTTGCTACTTTAGAAGAGTCACAGAGAAAAGTAAATTCCTTTTCCTATAATTTCTCTTACTGATGGGGACAAATCAGATCAAGTGACATGTCAGGAACATTTTGTGTTCAAAATACAACTTCTGCCAAAACCATGTTGAAATGGTACTAAATCACTATTATAATCTATATATATGTTGTATATATACATAAATTTGTGCTCTGTGTGTGTGTGTCTCTCTTTCTCACAGGACACACAGGATTTATATACACTGAAATCCAACCAGTGTAAAATGAAGTAATTTTTATGAATTAAAACTAATATTTTCAAAAGTCTTCTGGTTACCTGGTGCCATTCTGACAGGAATATATACCACACATGGGATGGCTTAAACAAACAAGAGTTTATTCTTACAATTTGGAGGCTTTAAGTCCAAGTTCAAAGTGCCAAGCTCTAGGGGCTGGGTGAAAGCTCTCGGCCTTGGGCTTCAGCTCTGACTCCAGCTCCTGGCCCACTAAAGCTAGAGGCTTTTCTTCACCCAGACAGCTGCTGGCTGCTGAGGCTGCCAAGCCCAAGGTTGACAAGTAACAAGGCACAGTCCTGATATTACCAAATCACATGGCAGACCATTAATTCAAGTCCATTGTAAGGCCCAAGGTCGGCAGAGCATGGCAGGCTTTTTGTTTCTTGTATATTAAAATGTAATCCACACTAAAGGCTGTAGTCCTTGATCTTCAACAGTAAGTGCTTCAAGTCATCTTCACTCTCAGCAAGGTTGTATTATCTGCATATCTCAGGTTGTTAATGAGTCTTCCTCCAATCCTGATGTCACATTTAACGGATGCTAGCAGTCACCAGCTAGTAGTAGATTGATATTGCCACTTTCATCTTAAGGAGCTCTGGTGGTTAATCATGGACATATTTTTTAATATCTCTAAGCCTCAGTTTCCTCATCTGTAAAATAAAATAATAATGATAATTATCTCATAGTATCGTCACAAACATTCAATTAGCAGTTACATCCTTAATAAATGTTAGCTGTTATCAAAGATGTGGAGGTCTGGTGGCATAGTTGATGAGACATTTAGCTGCTAACCAGCTGCTCTGCAGGAGAAAAATAAGGCAATCTACTTCCATAAAGATACATAGCCTTTGAAACCCAATAGGGGTTGCTATGAGTCAGAATCTACTTAAAGGCAGTGGGTTTGGTTTTGGTTTTGGTATTATCAATGGTGGCCTTTCCTGCAAGTTGATTATAAAGGACACCAAAATATCTCAGAAGTTTCCCTTTGCTAAGGACAGGCCAACCCTTGTCAAGTGAAATGAGTTCTTTCCAGTCTGGTCATCCAGATTGTCTTAAAAATGTGGGATTGTCTTGACTTATCATTAACTCATTTTAAGGTCATTTTTCTCATATTCTTTCTTTGTGTAATCTTCTTACATTACTGCATTTATTCCTCCTGAATGTATTGCTGTTGGACATTGTTCAGATTTTTGGAAAGAAATCAATTATTAGGATTTGGTTATTTAAGGGGAACAGTCATGCTTCTTTGAGAGAGGATTATTTATCTCTTAACTTACTGAATTTTACTTTTGTTTTTGTACTGAATGAAGTATCAAGGAAAATGTAGGCTCATTTGTAATAATTTGTTAGATGACAACACTTTTGATATTTTTAATTTAAATACAGGTAAACCTGCAAAAGCTGGAAACTCTGTAACATAGAAACCTGTCAGGGAAGGAAAACTCAAATATTTTCCACTAAATCAAATGATGGAATAGTGGTAAAACTGCACCCTTCAAAGGTGAAAAACTTGTGAGACAAAGAAGAACAAAGCAATCCCATTAAGTTCTGGATCTCACAGGTTTCACTGTAGAATGAATTCCATTATTATAATTATGTAACCCAGAATCAAATCATATGTTTTCTCCTAAACTTAACTTGCCTTCTTAAATTTTAGGATTCCAGATATTTTGAGGAAAAAGCTAAAAGTTGATTTTTTCAACTAGAATGTGAAAATCATTATCCAAAACAAACCAAGCACACTTTCGTTGAGTTGATTCCAACTCATAGCGACCCCCATTGGGTTTCCAAGGCAGTAAATCTCTACAGATGTAGGTTGCTCCATTTTCCTTCTGCAGAGGGTCTGCTGGGTTTGAACCACCAAACTTCTGGTTACCAGTAAGATGACTCAGGTACTAGGCCACCAGAGCTTCTGAAAATTGTTATAAGTTAACTTTATTAACTTTTTATTAAAAACTAGTCTGATTGAAAAAATGAATTGTAAATGGGTATTTTATTTTCTAGATTTTTCACCATTATGTTAATTTAATTTTTTATAGAAGTATGTGAAGCATTGTTAGAGATTTTAAGGATGTAAACCCTAAGGGGTTAAGGAGAAAACTAAAAGTAATAAAGGTTTGCAATTTAAGGATTAGTTACATAGAAATTCTATAGCCTGCAGTATAGACACTATAGAAACTTAAAGTTTTCCGTATTTCATTAAATCAAGGGCATCATAAATGGTAAGAAGTATCCTTACTTTATGTACCACTAGAAAGGGGAAAGGATCTCTCATGGTGCAGTGATTAAGGTATTTGGCTGCTAACCAAAAGGTTAATGGTTCAAACCCACCAGCCACTCCACTGGAGAAAGATGAGGCAGTCTGCTTCCATAAAGATTTACAGCCTTGGGAACTCTGAGTCAGTATTATGATGTCTTGTAGGATCGCTATGACTGGAATCAACTTGATGACTGCAGTGCAATGAATTACTTGGTATGGTTTTTCTAGCCATAATCTTTGTAACTCTCACCAGATCACTGGGTAACACCATGCAAGTAAGGTGTGTAGAACTCTTATGTTGGGATTCGTTAGTTTTGCCACTCTCTCAGGCATACAATGAGCCCTTCTGGAGGCAGAAGGGGGAGCTCGCTGCCACCAAGAGAGAAGAGCTGGAGGTGAAATAGAGCACATCTCTGAACCCAAAATCCCTGCACTAGACCTCCTTGGCTGAGAGAAGCCATGGAACCAAAAGACATGAGACAGAGCAGTAGGCTTACCTGGCCCACAAAGGCAGAGGTCAGGCTAAGTTGCCAAAGGTCAGAGAGGCATGCCTGAAGGCACAGCAGAGGGGAAACTGTCCTGATTCAAGAACTGTATCGTGAACATATTCCTCAACCTGAATTGTAGCCTGTTATTTCCCCAATAAACCCCAGAATTGTGAGTATTGTATGTGAGTTCTGTGGGGCCATTGTAGCAAATAATAGAACCCAGCAGAGAAGTAGTGAGTACCATGGGAGGGACGGTTTGTGTCAAAGTTGATAAAAAGGCTGGAAGGTGATGGCATGTATGGCCTCATAGGAATAAGCCTTGGTGTGGTGATGGTGATTCTGTCTTCTTGTGAAGTTAGAGGAAGTCAGAAGATGCCACTTCCATGCCCTTTTTGCAATGACAGTGGATTGGGTTTGGTTTTTGAAGAAGGAGAAAGATGAATATAATAGGAGACCTTTTGTACAAAGCTGGTACCCTTTATGTGAGGATAAATGAGAAATTAACCTGGCCATGCAGGAAAGGGACAAGAAAGAATCTTCCAAGTCTCAAACTTGGCACTGGTAGAAGGAGGGAAAAAAATCTCCACTGCGAATTTGAACCACAACCATTAGTTTGATATCTGAAGTCATACCACCAATGTGGTCCACACTATCCTGCAACAGAAGATTAGATTAAGACTGGTCTCAGGTTAGTGGTGTTCCCAGCAGAGGAAGATGTAGTATATCTTCTCTGTAAAAATTTGACTTTAATCCAGACTGACGGCAATGGCAACGTCCCTTCAATTATAAAAGTTGTATCCCAATTTCAAAAATTGAATACATAACCACATGTGCTTTTTAGGAGGATAAAATATAGTAATTCTATCAAGATTAACTTTTCAGTGTCGTCAAATATATATTATATTTGTAATGAGAATCTTGAAACTGAAAGATTTTTAAAGAACCTTCTGAGTTAAATTATTTTCAGCATAATCTGTCTTTCAGATGAAGTTCTTAAAAATTGGTGATAAATATGCAGTATATATTGTGATTTTATTAAGAGAAATACTGTCTAAAATACCCTATTTGAGGTGGAAGGTGCATTGTTATATAGAAGACAGATATACTCTAAAAGAAGTTTTATTAATAATTATATCTAAAGAACTATATTCTGCCTTTTCTCTTGCTTTGCTAGCAATGTTTATTTATGAATTACTCTTGGTCTCTCTTGGTATACATGAAGGCCATTTAATATGCTTCTCTACCAAGTTACTGAATGGTGACTTTCGAATAGACTTGCTTCTTTAGTGTTTGAATAGTTTTCTCTCTTACAAGTTTTAAATATACCTATTCATTTTGCTTAAAGTTAAATATCTAAAACATATTTTAAGACTCGTGTTAACAAAATTCTGTTCTCTTAAACAATTACTCCATATGGTTTTTTAAATTTACTTAAATTTTATTTATTTTCCTGGTGGTGGTGAGAATATGCACAGCAAAACATACACCAATTCAACAGTTTCTGCATCATGGACCATTTAGTGACATTGATTATATTCTTCAATTTGTACAACCATTCTCACCTTCCTTTTCTGAGTTGTTCCTCTCCCATTTACATAACTCACTGTCTCCTAAGGTTCCTATCTAATCTTTCAAGTTGCTGTTGTCAATTTCATCCCATGCATATGATTCTTAAAAGAACATAATACTTAAGGCAGTTTTTTTTTTTTTACTAGTTTTTGGCTTAAAGAATACTTGAGGGAATTTGTTTTGTTGTTTTAAAGGTTATCTCTGGGCAATGGTTTCAGGGGTTCTTCAGCTTCCATGGCTCCAAAAAGTCTGGAGTCCATGAGAATTTGGAATTCTGTTCTGCATTTTCTCCCTTTCAATCAGGATTAGTCTATTGAATCTTTGATCAAAATGTTCAGTAATGGTAGCCAGGCACCTTACACTTCTGGTCTCCTGGCAAAGGAGATTGTTATCCATGGGAGCAATTAGCCATACATTCCATATCTCCTCC